TGTGTGTGTGTGTGTGTGTGTGTGAAGCTGTGTCTGGAATCCTGTGAAACCAGTTTCAAGTTTATGACCTCCAAGAGAGGGCTGGCTTAAGTGGAAAGCCTTGTAACAGAGTTACAGCTGCTACGGGGAGCTCAGACAGAGGCTCCCTTGGTTTTGAGGTGCCTCCTAGACAGACGGCTGGGTCACACATAGGGGATCCATCCACCTCCTAGAAGTTATCCTCAGTCCTTATCTGTAGAGCAGAAGCGTTCAGGTTGTGAATACAGAGGAAGGAGTGTGAGGTAAGCATTCCAAGACCCTGGGTGGTGTCGGTGAGAGCCAGGGCCAGGCCTGCAGCAGGACACTTCTGAACTGCCTCATGCTCGGGGATAACTCTCTTTCCTCTGTTTCCAGTTTGCAGCATGGGCCCAGTGCTAATTTTTCCCAATGCCTCCACTGAAAATGTGATCTTTCTTAGCCCGGGCTTCCTCGTGCCGTTACGAGCTCTGTCCTTCTGCAGTTGGGTTCGCATGGCCTCTGGCCACCTGGGTACCCTCCTTTCCTATGCCACCAAAGACAATGACAACAAGCTAGTACTGCATGGCCGAGACTCCCTGGTCCCTGGCACTATCCACTTTGTGATTGGCGACCCGATCTTCAGGGAGCTGTCCCTGCGTCCGCTCCTGGATGGTCAGTGGCACCACATTTGTATCATCTGGACATCCATGGAGGGCAAGTACTGGCTCCACATAGACCGAAGGATAGTAGCTACTGGCTCCCGCTTCAGAGAGGGCTACGAGATCCCTCCTGGAGGGTCCCTTGTGCTGGGTCAGGAACAAGACACTATGGGGGGTCAGTTTGACAGCTCTGAGGCCTTTGTGGGGAGCATATCTGGCTTGGCCATCTGGGATCGGGCACTGATCCCTAGAGAAGTGGCAAACCTTGCCACTGGGAAAGAGCTCCCGACAGGTGCCATTCTGACTCTGACCAATGCCACATCCGTGGGTGGATTCGTGCAGAGGGCCAACTGCACCTGTCTGGAGCAGTGTCCATAAGGCTGCCACACACGGGCTGCACCACAGTGAAGACCAGCAGGAAGGGCAAGCCTCCGCATCAACACATTCCAAAGCATTCCCCTGCCGCCAGTGCGGGTCTGTGCGCTTGGGCTCTGCCGTAGACTCCTGCACGGAGGTTGGGAGGAGATGGAAAGTGGACACTGCATGTTTCTGTTGCTATGGAACCCTTCTTTCGTTTGGTTGGGTTTTTGTGGTCTTGTTTGTTTATTGATTTCTGAGACAGGGTCTCACTCTGTGGGTCTTATTGGTCCAGAACTTGCTCTGCATCCCAGGCTGTCCTCAGTCTCACAGCAGTCTGCCTCTAGAGTGCCCAGGTTCCAGATGTGAGTCACCAATTCCTCTTCCACCCTCCCTCCCTCCCTTCCTTCTCTTTTGACAGTTTCTCACTGTCTGTCGTCTAGATTGTTTGAATTCATGATCCTCCGGCCCCTTGAGTGCTGAGACCCCCTGACTTTCACAGTGACATTGAAAGGTCGTTTTCACATCATTGTAACATGCTGTTCTGTCACCCGGCTGAGCTGGTGGACAGGAACACTGGGCTTGAGGAGCCTTTCTTCTAACTCACCTCTGCATCCACGAAAAGCTGTCAGACAGATGAGAGGCCAGTTCCTGGGGACCCTCTAGAAACTATGTAGGAAGTAGTTGTACCATATTTGTCTCCTCCCTAAAGACTCACGGAAGCTTACCTGTGGATGTGGATGTTCCAACATTACTCTCCTGAAAAAGGCTTAACATTTGCTGGGCAGGAGTGGTGCACACCTTTAATCTCAGCACGTGGGAGGCAGAGGCAGGCAGATCTCTGTGAGTTCAAGGCCAGCCTGGTCTACAGAGCTAGTTCCAGAACAAGCTCCAAAAAGGCTTAACATTCTCTCCCCGTCTCCTTAAGGCTTGACAGTCTGTTCTCTCTCCCCCTTTCCCAGGAGCCCTGGGCATTACCTGCAGGTCAGCTGATCATTTTTTTTTTCCTATTTTCCTGTGGTAGCTGTTGAAGCTTCCAGAACTACCATTAAACATCCACTAGCAATGCTTTAAAATGTAATTTATGAGGCATAATTTTCATATTATAATATGTGCCTTTTTGCTGTTGCTGTTGTTGTTTGTTTTTTGAGATAGCATTTCTCCTGGTAACAGCCCTGACTGTCCTGGAACACCACCCGGAATACCATCAACTTCCGGCTAAGATATACCCTTTTAAAATTTTTGAAAGGTTTTAATAAAAGTGCTGAGTTGTGCAACCATCACAATCTAGTTTTATTTCTTTGTTTGTTTGCTTGTTTGTTTTTCAAGACAGGGTTTCTCTGTGTAATAGTCCTAGCTGTCTTGCTTTGTAGACCAGGCTGGCTTTGAATTTACAGAGATCCACTTGCCTCTGCCTCCTGAGTGCTGGGATTAAAAGCACACAACAATCTAGTATTAGCACTTCCATTCATTAGCTGTTGGACATTTTTTAAAAAGCTCATTTATTTTTATTTTATTTTCATTCGTGTTTTGCCTGTATGTATGTCTGTGTGAGGATATCGGATGTTGGAGTTACAGACAGTAACATGTTAGCTGCCTTATGGGTGCAGGGAATTGAACCCAGGTTCTCTGGAAGAGCAATCAGTGAGTTCAACTGCTGAGCCATCTCTCCAGTCCTTGCTGATGGACATTTTGATGGTTCTAGTTTTTTTAGTAATGTAAATAAAGTTGCTATGACCATTCTTACATTATGTACACATGTCATTGAGTAAGTGGATATGTTTTTATTTATCCTGTGAAAATACTCATGATCAAATGGACTATATAGTAAATTCATATCTAGGAATCGAAGGAAACTTGCAAACTGTTTTCTAAAGTTGATGCCCAATATATATCCCCGTCAGCACATGTGATGGATTCCCTTTCTCAGCATCCTTGGCAAACCCTGGCTTTGTCTATTTGACAAATTCAGATTCCAAATGGAGCCATTATGAAGCAACAACCAACAAACAAAACAAAGCATCAGGATGGAGAGAAGGCTCAGTAGTTAAGAGCACTTGCTGCTCTTTCAGAGGACCTAGGTCCAGTTCCCAGCTATTAGGACAGCTCACAACCTTCTGTCACTCCAGTTCCAGGGATTTCAGTGCCTTTCTGTGGCCTCTGTGGATGTCATGCCAGCACACATCAGCACACATGACGTGCACATACATACACACAGGTACTCACACACATACAATAAAAATGGATCTTTTTTTAAAACGTGTTTTGACAGTTTGATGATTAAAAAAGGCATTTGTGCTTTCAGTTTTGGTGTGCTTTTGAAAAATTACCTTTATTACACTGAAAAACACCCAGAGAAGACCCACAATCAAGATCTTCAAGTCAAGAGTCCATTGTTATAGCCAGGAAAACAGGCAAAGGGACACAGAGAGGCCCACTGAGCCTGGGGACAGAAATGCTCCTCAGAATGTACCCTCTCTCCCTCTTTAAAAACAAAGGATTGAGGACTAGAAAGATGGCTCAGGGGTTAACAACATTGACTGCTCTTCCAGAGGACCCAAGTTCAATTCCCAGCACCTACATGGCAGCTCACAACTGTCTATAATTGCAGTTCTAGGAGACCTGACACCATGGTAAAACACAAAAGCACATAAATTAGAAATAAATAAATTAAAACACGAAGGATTTATTTTATTTTGAATCATGTATATATCTATGTGGATCTATGTGAGTGCGTGCTATGTGGCCCACAGAAGCCAGAGCTCTTTTGAGGATGAAGTTGAAATTGTTTATGAGCGACCTCTTGTGGGTGTTGGGAAGAGAACTCCAGGCTGCTAAAGGAGCAGTGAGTTCTCTTGACCACTGAGCCATCTCTCTAGCCCCCTCCCTTCCTTTTGTTCTCCTTCCTTCACAGTAATTTTAGGTCCAACAGAATCTTTCTTGACCCAGTTGTACTCTAAGATGCTAGCAACTCGCAGAAGTAACAGGGACGTGGTCATCCAGCTTGCTATCTAGTAAACGTGAGGATTAACGGTGGGGAGTAAACAGAGAAGGCATGCTTTAGAAAAAGTTATTAAGGGCTGGAGAGATGGCTCAGAGGTTAAGAGCATTGCCTGCTCTTCCAAAGGTCCTGAGTTCAATTCCCGGCAACCACAACCATCTGTAATGAGGTCTGGTGCCCCCTTCTGGCCTGCAGACATACACACAGACAGAATATTGTATACATAATAAATAAATATTAAAAATTATTTAAAAGTGAGAAATTAAGAAAAAATGGAAGCTGGACAGTGGTTACTCTTGCCTTTAATCCCAGCTCTTGGGAGGCAAAGGCAGGTGGATCTCTGTGAGTTCAAGGTCAGCCTGGTCTACAGAGTGAGTTCCAGGACAGATACCCAGTCTCAAAAATAACTGAGATGGGAGGGGAATGGAATGAAAGAAATTCCTAAGAGAAGGAAAAAAATCATTGGGTTCTTTTGTATGTGGAGTTTATAAAGGGCTATGGCAGGAATGGGACAAAGGCTGAGGTAAGCTCTATGAGACTGGCCCGTTCTCCAGATGCACTAGCGACTGAGCTGCTGAGCAGGCTGCCGTGCTCAGTTAATTCCCCTGGCCCGGGCATGAATATGAGCTGAGCATGTGCTGCGTGTCAGATTAGCTATGGTTAAACTTCTTTCCCTTGTCCGTTTCCGGCTCCAGCTTTTTCATCGTTGTTGACTTCCACCATCTGAGAGCTGTCATTCACTTAGCCAGCTTGCTGTCTGACAAGTGCTGCCAATTATACTGAGCTCTCTGAATTCTCAAGAAATAGCTGCTGTTGTTCTTAACTATTCGTAGTTTACCTTGTTGTCTAGGGAATGGTCTGAGGTTTCTTTCCTGATGTGTGTAGAGGCTTTGTTAGACGTTCTCTGTTACAATGAGTTACATGAGGAGCAAGAATATATGAAAGGGCAATACTGCTTGATAAACATTTATAAACAGGCTGGGGGTGGGGGAAGACAGTCCATCCTCAGTGACCCAGAGCCTGGTCCCTCCTCTTATCTCAGCAGCTCAGTTATCTTTTCTTTCTTTTGTTCTCTTTTTCTTCCTTCCTTCCTTTCTTTCATTCTTTCTTTTTTCTTTTTTAGACAGGGTCTCATTATGTCGCTTTGGCTGTCCTGGAACTCACTCTTCAGACCAGGCTTAGATGTGTTAAGTCCTTCTGTATATGTATGGCTTTTATTGGTTAATGAACAAAGAAGCAGCTTTGGCCTGTGATAGGGCAGAATAGAACTAGGTGGGAAAACTAAACTGAATGTTGGGAGAAAATAGGTGGAGCCAGTGAGAAGCCATGTAGCCACCACAGGAGACAGATGCCTCTGCTGAAACTTTGCCCGTAGGCCACAACCTCATGGTGATGCACAGATTAATGAAGATGGGTTAGTTTAGGATATAAGAGCTGGCTAGAAATATGTCTAAGCTATTGGCCAAACAGTATTGCGAATAATATAGTTTCTGTATGATTATTTTGGGTCAGAGCATCCTGGAAGGAACGAACAGCCTCCGACTACACAGGCTGATCTCAAACTCACAGAGATCCACCTGCCTCTGCCTCTGGGATTAAAGGCATGTACCACTCTACCTGGCACTGGTTTGGTTATCACAGGCCTATTATCCATTTTTGCAGTATTTCAGGCCTTGCCACCTCAACACAATCTTCCTTTTAACCTCAGTGTTCATTCTCACTGTAACACTTGTGAGTGTCTTGCAGTTTTCACTATGTGCCCCTCTCTGCCTACAGAAAGCTAACTCCTGCATCATTGGTTTGGACTTCTGTTTGTAAAAGAGTATCACTGAATAATTTGGGTTGGTACCCTCCCATCTCACCTCAGTTTTCCAAATGCTGGGATTATTGACTCATGCCACCACATCCCTTTTTCATTTCAAAAGTAAAACATGGTTCTGGAGAGACGGCTCAAGGATTAAGAGCACTGGCTGCTCTTCTAGAGAACCTGGGTTTGATTCCCAGCACACACATGGCAGCTCATAACCATCTGTCACTCCGGTTTCGGAGGATCTGATGCCCCTTTCTGGCTTCCACAGGTATTAGGCACACACATGGTGTATATAATGCAAGCAAAATACACACATAGATTTTTTCTAAAAACTCAAAACCAAGAAAGCAGACTAGAGGTAACACACACCCAGTGTTAATCAAACCATGTCCCTAAGGCCTCCCGCACTCTATGTACCGTAACCTCCATTCTGCAGAGGTTCCATTTCCATCTGGCCACCTTGTCATTCAGGGGGAGGCAGACGGCAGTATGCAGCGCCCTCCCCACTAGCGCTACCATGGGAACAGGGCTCTAAATTAGCCCTTTCTTTGTCTTTGTCCGGCTCTCATGTAGCCCAGGCTGGGCTTGAATTCACTGTGTAGTGAGGATGACCCTGGACTCTTGGCCCTCCTTCCTTCATCTCTGGTGCTGGAATCACAGGTGTTTCCCAGAAGCGCTCCATGCACCACGCTAGGCAAGCACTTCACCACCTGAGCCACACCCCAGCCCCCTGCATGAGCCTCCTAACAGCATCTTTCCAACCTCTTGGTGTGCCCAGGGCTCTAGGCTTCCAGTTAAAATCAGCGTCCTAGGCCGCCTGTTCCTGAGTCAGAGCCAGGCAGACTGGATTGTAGAACTGGAAACTCCCCATGGACACCTCATGCTGTGATCTTGAATCACCCACTGCCTTCTGCTTCCCCAAGAACCCGAGCTTCTGGTCTCAAGCACATCCAGCTGAGAGCCCCTCTTCCTCAAACCTCCCTCCCTTCTTTGCCTCCCTTGACACATTCTGGAATGTTTTTTTTTGGGGGGGGCTTCATTTCATTCTGGCTCTGAGGAGAGTGGGGAGCAGCATCTTCCTCCTGGAAAGAGCCACGTTCTAGTGATTGCTGGAGGGACAACATGGTCCCTTGTATTGCTGTTCTGTTCAAGACCCCTAGCAGCAAGTAGGAGTTGAACCTCCAATGGTTTCATTACAAATTCTTGCTCTCAATCTCATATCTCAGACTAGAATAACTGGAAGTAACCAGGCAAACAGAGGCTCAGAGCCAGAACAGAGCAGAACAGAACACTGAAGAGCATCACTTGTGGACTCTTCCCAGCTTTCAGGTGTTTGAAATGGCCTAGGGGAACTGAGATAGCACACTGCAGACCTCGGGACTTACTTCAGCGGACTGCACAGTGGGCTGCTGCATCCAGGAGACACTGTGGGGCCAAAAGGAACTCCAGGAAGGCAGAACACTTTAGATGGGGTC